ATGGTAAACATGGAAATGTTTTATCTCTACAGAAGGCATTTTTTCCCCCCTCTATCTCATATGTCTGCCTAAGATGATGATCAGGAATTAAATAGGAAAAGGCCTACAAGTCCTTAAAAAAATGTCCCTCAAGTCCAGGCTCTTGCCTCCTCAGAGAGCTCTTGGGTTCATATTAAAGCAGATTTTTAGAAGTCCTAGCAAGCTGATTTTCCACCCAGCTATGGAAACAAAATGAAGGAGAGGGGGCCAAGAGTTGATGCTAGAATGAGTCATACTAACAGAGGGGAGTGGTCTTAGACCATAAGAGTAAGGGAGGTAGAAAGTAAGAAAAAGATAATTGAAAAAAATCCTGTGTACTGATTTAGTCTTCCAGACTGGAAGCACCTGAGGGCCAGGCCTTATCGCCTACTGCCTTAGTTTCCTCTCTCGTGCTGAGTCCAAAGCAAAGGTTTAATATTTAAATTGTATTAAATACTTAATAGTTGACAGATTAAAACAGACTATAGCAGAAAACCAGCTCTGCATAGTAAGATCACTGTATCTTAAATGCGATAAATTTTTAAAAAATCATTATCACAAACATTCTATGCCAATAAGATGAATGTTGAAATTCATTGCAGCTGTGGCCATGATTAATTACAAGTTTAATCACGTATTTTAGGGTAAACCTATTTCCTTAACATCTCTTTTCTATTAAATTACATGCACTATGCTAATGTTAAGGGCCAAAGTAGTTTCTTGGCTGATCAAATCTTTTGGGTTTGATTTTTTGAAAAGATACTTTGACAACTTAACAAAACTATAAAATAAAATGAATAAGAACTAGCACAATCTTTTTAGGACTATGACAACATAATTAGACCAGAGTGTCTATAATTATGAAAGAAAATATTCTCAAATATTGTTTTATGACTTTCATGATGCATAATAAAGGAAAAACCTCTATCCCATTCACTACGCATTTTAACAGTTTAATTTCATTCTACTGTTATAATGAAAAAAGGGATGCCCGACATTTATGCCAGAAAGAAAACTCTACGAACATGTATCGAGCAAGTGAAATGTCTGTAGCTTTTATTTTAATCTCACAGCTAATTCAGAAAGTCAATAAAAATGTAAAGGAATATGGTATTTACATTGTAATTACAGGTCATCCCATATGCAAAATGTCAATGGTGGAGTGATGCCCCCAGGTGGCAAAATGATAAATTGCAGTACTTTGATTGAAAAGTACTATGTACATATAGCTCTTCCATTTTGTCAAGTTCTGATTAAATCTAGAAACGTATATAAGGAATCTGTACTTCATAGGAACTAGTCATAAGTCCTACAAACTTATGGTCTACCCAAGTCACTCCTTTAACGTTGATACCAAGGGAGAGTCTGATACCTTCCTCATGAGCTCAAAAAGTTAAGGGTGTATCTGCAAAACAAAAAGGAAAGTCATACCTATTCTGATGTGTTGAAGGAATAGCATTCATACCATTATAAAAATCTCTAAAAAGTATTCACCTTCTAGCCACCTCTCACATTAACCAATTCCCTATGTCTAGCATGTAAACCATAATTTAAAACCATATCTAGTCAAATTGCTTGGACAATGAGTAGTGCTATAATGTGCTTTGCTCACAAATGATTCAGTATCAACACTAAAAAAAAAAAAACAAAAACGAGTTTAGTTTCCTGCCTCCATACATGCATTAAACATAACAATCACTGATGAGTTGATATCTTAGCTAAAAGGTTCACATTTTGAGAACAAATTTATTTTGGACAGCCACAGAGATATAAAAGATGACAACAGAATTGTTACAATCTCAAGAAAAATCATTGAATAAGTTTTTTAAATTACATTCCTGGTTTCAGATTGGTTTATTTGGGAAATTTTTCTCATTTAAAAGTAATCCAAAAAAAACTTCCATTTATTAGAAGTTTCCAATTGCAGTCATTGGGTGGTAATTAGCTAAAGTTTTGTTAGGCTTCCTTTAATCATTCCTTTAACATGGATTGTTTATAATTAAGGTGAATCTGTGCTGCTTTTGAGGGATAACTATGAGCGACGCAATGTGATATCTAAATCTTACATAAATAGGCAGATATCGTATTATTATTACAGTCCTATGAGGTATTATACCCATTTTAAAGATGAGAAAACCAAAGCTCAGATTAGGAATGTGCAGAATCTAGACTTCACATTAAGAACAGGCCTGGCTTTACTCCTTCTTTACATCCAAAGCTGGTATTTTAACAATGACACCACACGGCTCTGTTTCTATTATAGCATTCTAGAATTTTGTGAGTAGTCACATTCACACTTTTTTCTGATTTTAGCAAATAATTCTAAAAGCAATTGTCTACAAAGGTTGGCAGGTAGTGGAAAGGTGTGATGCAGCTGTATGCAAGAGACAGTGAGGAGAGGCAGGAATGTGGCTAACTGGAGAATACAGAATTTGTCTAAAGGAGTAGCTGCTACCCAGCTTTAGCAGCCCATTGTGGCTACACACGAACTGATGTTAGCAAGCGTTACCAAATCTTTTTTTTTTTTTTTCTAGAGAAGACAAAATGCTCAATTTATATGAGCTGCTCATTTAAAAATACTAACTACTGGCCAGGCACGGTGGCTCATGCCTGTAATCTCAGCACTTTGGGAGGCCAAGGTGAGAGGATCACCTGAGGTCAATAGTTCAAGACCAGCCTGGCCAACATGGTAAAACCCTGTCTCTACTAAAAATACAAAAATTAGCCGAGTGTGGTGGTGCACTCCTGTAATCCCAGCTACTTGGGAGGTTGAGGTGGGAGAATCACTTGAACCTGGGAGGTGGAGGTTGCAGTGAACCAAGATCATGCCACTGCACTCCAGCCTGGGCGACAGAGTGAGACTCTGTCTCAAAAAACAAAACAAAACAAAACAAAAAAACTGACTAATTTACTAAAAAGAAACACTACCCAGACCAAATAAAAGACATCTGAAAGCCACATGTGGCCAGTATGCAATATGTTTTGGATTCTGATGATGAAAGATTCCTTTCGCAGAGATTCTGGACGAGATCTTCTGGTGCCAAATGATTTTTGTCCGTTATCCTCACTATTGGATTCATTCCACAAACACAGACTCTGTCTGCCGTCTTCAGCTCTGGTCATACTTTTTTAAGACTGGTTCAGGTACAAGAAAAATCACTAACAAATCACTTACCAACCAACCAGCCCCAGCCCCCTTTCTTCTCTCTCGTTCTCTTTCTCTCTCTCTTCCCCCAACTACAAATACACTCTCTCCACTCACTCATTATCTCAAGTCTAAAGGTTTCAAGTTTGATCTTCATACATCTTATTTTACATCCTTTTAATCAACTTTTTAGTCCTCCTGTGAATTATCTTAAAATTTTTCATATTCCTCATTAGTTGAAGAAATTAAAATTGGATATGATCCTATAGTGTAGTTTTTAGAAGTATTGGGTCTGGTTTAGGTCTTACTCTCAATGTTTCCATAAAGGTTCTCTAATAATTGTCAGAAATTTATCATTCTATTCTAAATGGCTAGAAGAGCACCTCTAGGATTAAAGGAAAAAAATCCTTTTCAGTAGGAATCATAATGCATGTTCTAAGGACATCAGAAAAATGCCAGCTCTTTTATCATCCCTCATGTAGAAATTAACTAAAAACTATAAATTCTAGATAATTACAGCTTTTAAAAATTCTGGACAGAGACCATTTAAAAGGTTGAGTTTCAAAACAAAGTAGTAACATCACTAACATTTACCTTTACAATTCCTATAACCTATGAGGATGTAGAAAAGTGTTTATTTTAAATTCACTCTGAAATATCCAATAGGCAAAAGCTGGAAGAACTTAGAGTAGCCTCAAAACCTCAGAAGAAAACAATAAACTATGGGATGAAAATGTGGTCTTCTGGGGTTAAGGGCTGATATCTTGGATCATTCTCCCTTCTGCTTTCTGTTCCTCCTGCGTTTCTGATAGGCAAGTTTCTTACCCTAACTTCAGTTCCAACTTACTTTCCACTGCAGGAAATTAAAAAAACTTTACACCAAAAATGGAGGTTTATCTGCAAGGGAGGTACTATCTAAAGTTTTTAAGAGTTTTTCTCTATTATCAAAGTGTATAGGGTCCGATTATAATCAACAGAGACGAGGTGAGAAGGCGGTCATCAACATAAGCTAATTTTAAATGGGAGTGTCCATTTGGTTTAAGTATTTAATCTGACGGCTTTCTGATTACGGAATTTGAAAATCTCCGCCATAGAAAGTCCAAAGAAAATTAATACTGTACTTTCTTTGGTATACCCTATTCATCTCAAATGTTAATAACTGTTCATTTGTATTTTGTAATATTTCTAAAAATAGTCATGATGAACAATTCTTATTTTCTCATTCAAGAAGTTCCAATCAAGTTAAGTGGAAGCAATATTGTCACTGAGACTGTGGCATGCCCAAACATCTTATTTTCACATAATCTTTCCCATTTCCAGCTCCCTTCTCGAGGTCATTTGGATATTATATTCACCTACTGAAATGTCTTTAAACCTAATATGAAAGACTAATTAGGGAGCTTACCTATATTCATGAAATACTTGGTTTGGTATAAAGAGCAAAGTGGACATTGCTCCATGCTCTTTTTTTTTTTTTTTCTACAGTCTTGCTCTGTTGCCCAGGCTGGAGTGCAGTGGCATGATCTCGGCTCACTGCAACCTCTGCCTTCTGAGTTTAAGCAATTCTTGTGCCTCAGCCTCCCGAGTAGCTGAGATTACAGGCATGTACCACCCTGCCTGGCTAATTTTTGTATTTTTAGTAGAGACAGGGTTTTGCCATATTGGCCAGGTTGATCTTGAACTCCTGGCCTCAAGTGATTCGCCCGCCTTGGCCTCCCAAAGTGCTGGGATTACAGGCATGAGCCACCATACCTGGCCTCCTTCATGTTCTTAATCAGCTAAGACCTGCAAACAAAAAGCAGCCTACTCAAGATTCATACAAAGTATTTTTACTTACAATTCCTCTCCTCGTTTGGCTTTCTTGTCTGAAACCAGATAGACAGTTCCAAAACTTCCACTGCCAAGTTTCTGTTGAAGCACATATCTTCTTGCAATCAAGGTCTTTGGATAAGTGGAAATGGCTGTTGATCCACTCACACACTTAGCTGCCTCTTGGAATTTCAGCATTGCTCCAAACAACAGAGAACTGGTTCATTCATTTATAGAAACTTAACATTCGAGTCTCCTAAGAAATGGTCAAATTCATCCAAACAGTGTTGGTCAATTCCTTAAAGATGAAAAATTCAAAGATCAGGTCTAAAGGATGCTAAACGATCTCTAACAAAAAGTATAAGTGCAGTGATTATCTGCATCTTGATCAGCAGACTGAATGACACCATATTGGTTAACGACTTGAAAGAAAAATGTTAAAAGGTACAGATACCACAAATTCCAGTAGAAGGCAATCCTTCACAGAAAGAGCCTCCCTTTGTACATTGAAATTTGGCAGAACTGAATTGGAGCCAACTTTCCACAAATATCTGGGATGGACATCTGTTTTACAATCAACAATCTCTTCATTTAAGATTTATACTCCCCACCTACTTATAAAAGACTCCAAATACAAGAACATTATCACTTCCTTAAATCTATATATCTGCATCAACCTTTTTGTAATGCCCTCTTCCCACCTTATGTTTACTTTGGTTTACAAAGAGAGAGTTAGGATTAAACAAGGAATTAGCAGGTGCTGTTTTCTTTAGATTTTTTTTTTTCTGTAGATGTTAAACCACAGTTTTTGCATTTATTAGAACAGATGCAAAGAGAGATAAGGATTCAGAGAGAATTTTTTCCCATGCTCAGCAAATTCTAGTTTCTAAAGTTCCTATTGTACACATTGTGTATAATCTCTCTGGATTAAAAACAGGAAGAGTTAACAAATTCAATTCAAACCTAAAATTGCATTTAATGTCAGTGAAATATAAATGTTACACATGTATCTGTAATTCTTCAGGGAGCTATGAGATGTGACAGTTATGAAAGGCAAGACTGTTTAGGCTGGGCCGCGGTGGGGATGCAGCGCTGTAAATCCCAGCATTTTTGAGGGGGAGCTGAGCGAGGGCCAGATCCGAGGTCAGGAGATCGCAGACTATCTTGGCTAACATAGTGGAAAGCCACCCTCTAACTAACAAACACAAAAAATTGAGCCAGGCCGTGGTGGAGGTCTATAGACCGCCCAGCTACTCGGGAAGCCTCAAGGTCAGGAGAATGGCGTAACCCAGGAGGCAGACTTGCAGCAGCCCGCGAGATCTCTCCATGCACTGCAGCCTGGGCGCGACAAGCGAGATTCCATCTCAACAAAAAAAAAAAAAAAAAGAAAAGAAAGAAACAAAAAGAAAGGCAAGGACTGTTTTCATATGAGTAGGTACAAAGTAAAATCATTTTTATTCCATCAGAATGTTAAATGTTTTGTTAGTTATCAAGAAAAGTGTGCTTTTGTTTTAAATCTATATAGAAATAACCTTTTAAATTGAAAACTGCTTATACTTTGAAGCTAGGTTTTCATATTCAACAATTCCAAAGCTATGAGACAAAAACGTAGTTTTTAAGGATGGTCAATGGGCCTTACGTGATGGTGTCCGTCAACCACAAAAACTACTAGGGCAATTAACCACAAAAATCTCAAAACAGAACGTAAGTAAATGCCCATTTACAACATTTTCCTTCTTAAAATGTATTAACCAGTTAAGTTGTACCTGATACCAATGAGATTAGTTGCCAGCTTTTTTTTTCCCTTCCAAAGACATGTTAGTAAAATCTGCTGAAAAAAACAACTAGACAGCAGGCCTCTAAATGTACCTTTCGTTTTTACTTCCCCTTCACTGTCATAAAAGTGATGCCGTTTGGCCATACTAAGTTGTTCAAATAAATATATGGACTTACAGCCTTTCCAACCGAAAAGGGTCCTTCAGGTCACTCAGTAATTCTCCTTAAAGATGAGATTAAGGTTCCCTTTAGGGAAGGACAGAATTACGGACGGACAGAATAGTTACGAGAAGTTCACTTCTAGCGGCTCCTATTTCTAAAGGACAGTCTAAATCCAGCAGTGCTTAAGCAGTCTGGTCCAGGCTGCAGAAGACTCTGGGACTAGGTTCCCTCCCGCCCAATCTCACAGACTCAGCCCTGCCACCCCCATTCCAGTCCACTTTTAGGTCATCCATTCCATCAGTCTCCTCTGTGCAACCATAAACCTACCCAAGAATGTTTCGCATTGTCTAGATTCTAGAACTATCTGTTCACTTGACAACACCCTCCCCCTCGAGGTTTGTGCGTGAACTTGGGCACTGCGAACACATCTTCGTTATTTCTGCATCTCCAATACCTGGCATAACCCCTGGCATATATTAGGTGTTTAATAAATCTTGTTAGGGCAAATAAGTGTCCAGCAGATCAACTCCCGCCCAAAGGAGCGAAAAAAGGTTGGTTAAGAAAGCTAGATGGGAACTTGGAGAAAGTTACCACTTGTGCAAACTACCCCTTCTCGGTGAAACAGATTTGACTGGGGGCAAAAGACAACGGAAGGAGGAGTATTTATCACAAGTCAAAAATCAGTAGTTACCTTCCCAGGTAATAAGAGGAAGCCAATTGGTCACCAGGTTCTGCTATAGTAGAAATCTACCTTTAAAGTAAACCTTAACCTTAAGGTAAAACGAACAATTCCGTGCTTCTTCACTTTTTTAAACATTTACATTTTGGCAAAGCAGGTTAACGTTTATTGAGGGGCACTGAGAATGGAGTAAATCCGGAGATAAGACGTCCAGGAAAGCTAGGAGACCGCAGCCATGGAGTCCTAGAGATTCGGAACCCAGCCCGGACAGCTTGAAACCATTACCATCCCCCTTGCAGGGCAGCCTGGCGAGCCCCGAGGAACACAGTTCGCTTTACCTTTCCCTGTTGTGGTCGGAGCGGCCCCCGGGGCTTGCCCAAGTCTTGCCAGTAATAGAGCAGGCCTCAAACTAGGGGCAACCGCACCCACCGACCGCCAGAGACGGCGGGCCACGGGTGTTTGGAACCGTCGCCAGGGAGACGGCGCGGGGCATACTGGGAAGTCGGGATGAGGTTGCAGCAAGGCGGAAGTGTCCGCCGACCCAAGTAGGCGGAGAAAGGCGAGGAGGACCGGCGGGCCAAGCTTTCCTAGCCTGACGGTAGCCACTTCGGAACGTACGTCCCAGCCCTCTTTAGCTACTTAGCGCCTCCGGGCCCGGGAGCACCTGCGCCTTGGCGCAGTCTGGCGCCACCGGCATCCCGGAAGTGTACTTCCCAGAGACGTCACACGGGATACTTCCGGTTCCCGCTCTTGGGATTGAACTCTCACGTGCGGGAGCCAGTCCTCGCTGGGCTCTAGCAGGCTTCTGAAGGAGGAGCTACTCCTTTGGGAGGAAAGAGCAGGTGGGCTCTGCTGCAGGTCCGGGCGGCGGGTTGTGAGGGCCGAGGTGGCACGGTGTGTGAAGGCCTGTGTTTGAAGACTTAGGTCAAACCTTTTGCCCGCCTTTTCCCTGTGCAGCTATGTGCAACTGTCTATGCAAGGCCCTGTAATTTGCATAGGACGAGTTGACAGGGTCTCTGCTTGTCGACGCTTTACAAGACTGCCTTGCAAAGAAATAAGTACTATACAGGATAGGGTTCTGAGATACTGACAGGGCTGGGACTAGCGTGAGGTAAGTGTAAAATGTAAATGGATCTCAATAAAATTCAGTAATCAAGATAAGTTTTAATGCAATATCTCTAAAAATCGAAATTATTGCAAAAAAAAAATCCATGAGTGACAAAATGTCACGATTTTAATGTAACAGTACCGTGCTGCACCATATTGAAGCCAGAGGCGCCAAAAGAAAAACCATCAATTCTGATCCTGCGAGTTAAGTTAGCCAGATGAGGAAGAGTAACTGGGCCAGATATGCAAAATAAGATGATGAAGGCCTGGCGCGGTGGCTCACGCCTGTAATCCCAGCACTTTGGGAGGCCGAGGCAGGCGGATCACGAGGTCAGGAGATCGAGACCATCCTGGCTAACACGGTGAAACCCCGTCTCTACTAAAAACACACACACACAAATTAGCCGGGCGAGGTGGCGGGCACCTGTAGTCCCAGCTACTCGGGAGGCTGAGGCAGGAGAATGGCGTGAACCCAGGAGGCGGAGCTTGCGGTGAGCCAAGATCGTGCCACTGCACTCCAGCCTGGGCGACAGAGCGAGACTCCATCTCAAAAACAAAACAAAAAAAGACGATGAAAAGAGCTCGTGGTTAGGAGTGTAACTGGATAGAGGGGTTCCTAGAGGCATGAAGCAGTTTTCCTTATACCAAAAACTATGCCAATCAAGAAGGGCCCGCAAGCCTAAAGTCTGAAAGAAGTTCCGTGACTATCAATACAAAAGAAAAACTTGATCACTATCATAGGTCCTACACAACTCACTTTACTGAAGCCCAAATGCTTTGTGATTATGAGATGAATAATGATACCATTTTTTAAGCTTAGGACTTTTTACTTTGACCCCACAAAACAAATACTCTGTGCTGTAAGATGTTGACTATTACCACTTCAGAATCAAAGTTCAGAGAACTCCTATACTTGTGTGTCAGTAATGGACTTTAATGGTTTTTCTTTAGAATTAGCAGCAGCCTCTGTCACCATCCAAAGATCACAACCCATGAAACCATTGAGTTTGTGCTTTGTATCAGAAAGCAGAGGAGAATGAAAAAGCAAACCGCTAACATTGCTTGAGGATCTAGGTAAGAATTTATGGATGTTGATATCTATGTTCTATCTAAAGAACACTTCATAACATTTGCTGTTGATTTAGTGGTGCTGGAAGCAATGACTTGGTGCCCTACAACCAGCATCAATTGAAAATGCTTTCTGTTGTTTTAAACAGGCGATTAATTCTTTAGACTGTCGTCATGGGTATCCGAGGACTAATGAGTTTTGTGGAAGATCACAGTAATGAGTTCTTCACTGATCTGAAGTTGCGGGACACAAAAATTGTCATTGATGGCTATGCTCTTTTCCACCGTCTTTCCTTCAATTCAAACTTGGAGCTCCGGTATGGTGGGGACTATGATTCTTTTGCAGATATTGTACAAAACTTCTTTGAATCACTGTTTGCTTGTAATATATGCCCATATGTTGTACTAGATGGAGGATGTGACATTTCGGATAAAAAGCTTACAACTTTAAAGGACAGAGCTAGAGAGAAGATCCAGATGGCCCATTCCCTTTCTGTTGGTGGGAGTGGGTATGTATGTCCCTTACTCATCCGGGAAGTATTCATACAGGTTTTGATCAAGCTGCAGGTATGTTTTGTCCAGTGCTTTTCAGAAGCAGATCGGGACATTATGACACTTGCTAATCATTGGAATTGCCCTGTGTTATCGTCAGATAGTGACTTTTGCATTTTTGACCTGAAAACTGGGTTTTGCCCATTGAATAGCTTTCAGTGGAGAAATATTAACACTATCAAGGGCACACAAAACTATATCCCTGCCAAATGCTTTTCCCTTGATGCATTCTGCCATCACTTTAGCAATATGAATAAAGCTCTACTACCTCTCTTTGCGGTGCTATGTGGAAATGACCATATTAATCTACCTATCATGGAGACATTCTTAAGTAAAGCACGTCTTCCTCTTGGAGCTACCAGTTCTAAAGGGAGGAGACACCACCGAATCCTGGGACTTCTGAATTGGTTGTCTCATTTTGCCAACCCTACTGAAGCACTAGATAATGTTCTGAAATACCTCCCAAAAAAGGATCGAGAAAATGTTAAGGAACTTCTGTGCTGTTCCATGGAAGAATACCAACAGTCCCGGGTGAAGCTGCAGGACTTCTTCCAGTGTGGTACTTATGCCTGTCCAGATGCCTTGAATCTTGGTTTACCAGAATGGGTATTAGTGGCTTTAGCTAAAGGCCAGCTATCACCTTTCATCAGTGATGCTTTGGTCCTAAGACGGACCATTCTTCACACACAGGTGGAGAACATGCAGCAACCAAATGCCCACAGAATATCTCAGCCCATCAGACAAATCATCTATGGGCTTCTTTTAAATGCCTCACCACATCTGGACAAGACATCCAGGAATGCATTGCCTCCTCAGCCTCTAGCTTTCAGTGAAATGGAAAGGATTAATAAGAATATCAAAACCTCAATCATTGATGCAGTAGAACTGGCCAAGGATCATTCTGACTTAAGCAAATTGACTGAGGTAAGTATTTGTAATACTAATGAAATTTTTGTAAAGTACTTTACAGGTTACAAAGTGCTGTCTTGTATATTAGCTCGCTTACTATAACAAACTGATGAGGTTGAGTGCTATCTTGCCCTCATTTCATAGCTAAGAAATCTAGAAATTGAGTGAACTAGGTAATGTCTTAGCCAGAGAGTGACAGTGCTAGGACTCAAACCCAGCTCTTTTAGCTCTAAATCTACTATTTCCACTGTACTTCAGTAGTCTGTGCTATCTTCACAGTTATTACTACTATATTGTTATTACTACTAGGTTAATACTAGCTATCAATAGAATGGGATTATGTGGCTAAAAAGGAAAAAAATTCACAACTGAAAGAAAAAGTATAGACAGTAATGATAGGCATAATATCTCAGACTACATCAGATTTCAAATAAGGTTAATGCTGATACTAAGGTCTAATTTTTTAACTTTTATTAATGAAGACCTTTTTTAAAATAGGTTTTTGTGGCCGGGCGTGATGGCTCACGCCTGTAATCCCAGTACTTTGGGAGGCCGAGGCAGACGAATCACGAGGTCAGGAGATTGAGACCATCCTGGCTAACAAGGTGAAACCCCGTCTCTACTAAAAGTACAAAAATTAGCCAGGCATAGTGGCAGGCGCCTGTAGTCCCAGCTGCTCGGGAGGCTGAGGCAGGAAAGTGGTGTGAACCCGGGAGGCAGAGCTTGCAGTGACCACAGATTGCGCCACTGCACTCGACTCCGTCTTAAAACAAAACAAAAAAAATAGGTTTTTGTGTCATTATGGTTATTTGCCTAGTTTGATACAGAAAACATGACTCAGCCTAACTCAGTGTTGCTTAAACCTGAGTAATAGACCACCTTTTCAAGGAGAAAAAAATTCTCATGGATTGCGGTGTTGTCTTTTTATATTACATATTTAAAATTACAAATAGATATGAAACGATGCTCATAAAAGAACTAGATTCAGAAATTAAATACAGATAACTTAAAACAAAAAAAAATTGCAATGCCCATTAGGGGATTTTCTTAGATCCAATGACATATTCAGTCTCATAAGACTCCTAGACCACACGTGGCACCAGTCTACTCAAGGATGTAGGACAGCAACCACAGCTTCCCAGTGAGTTTGAGTCAGGTTTTCCTTTTCTGTCAGAGTTCTCCCAGCACTGTTATCGGTCTACATCAAAGGTTTACCAACATTGGTGATTTTGTCCCCCAGAGGACATTTGGCAATGCCTGGAGACGTTTTTGTTGTCCCTACCTAGGGAGTAGAAGGGGTAGTGGTTGCTACTGGTATCTAGTGGGGAGAGGCCAAAGATGCTGCTAAGTTATACAATCTGTACTTACAGTGCACAGGAAAGTGCCCCATAACAAAGAATCTCTAGCCCAAAACACCAGTAGTGCCATTCCCTGGGCTACACAGCTGACCAGGAACTAGCCTCTTAGCCTCCTCGTCAGTCACATCTCAGACAGGAGGAGATGAATGTCATAGTGTATGAGTGCAACAGCCTTCTTGGCATGGGGCAGTGAGTCTAAGAGCCTTCTTGGCATTGACGAGTGACTGTTAAACCCCCAGGGTTTCTTTGGTGGCGGAGTGAAGAAAATGTTTTGGAATTAGTGATGGCTGTACAAGTTTATAAATATACTAAACCAAGGCAAGGTGGCTCATATCTGTAAGCCTAGCACTTTGGGAGGCCAAAGTGGGAGGATCACTTGAGGCCAGTAGTTCAAGACCAGCGCCTGGGCAACACAAGAAGACTCTGTCTCTACAAAAAAAAAAAACTAAAAATTAGCCAGGCATGGTGGTACAGCTACTCAAGAAGCTGAGGTTGGA